GCTCCCTGTTAAGGTCACTGTGTTTTTCTACATCTGGTCGTTAGACAGCTCCACACCTGAAAGGTCGAGAGGCGCGATGCTGTCTGTTTTTGACCTTCACCCCTCTGTGGTGGTGGTGGTGGGGGGGGAGGCGCTTTCCCCAAATCCCTCTGGACTTGCTGGAATTCATCATGTCAGACAGCCTCTCAGCCCCAGATCAGAGTCCTGCTGACATCTGTTGGCTTCCACTTACTTCCAATTGTGTGGGCGGTGGTTCCTAACGTTTATTTTGTTTGTATATTCAGCATATAATTGTACCGTTTTGTAGTATCGGTTTGTTTTTATGTAGCTCCTTCCATAACACAGTTGCCCCAAGGCACTTAACAGGAGTGTGTGGCAAACCATTGTTGTTTTATTATTCTATTATTAGTACATGTGCAATAAACTGTTTATTATACAAGATAAAATAGGAAAATGCCAGAAGACGACAGAGCAGAGGAACCAAAACCTCCATAGTGAGGAGAAGACAGCTCTGGGGGCTCAGCTGCTTCAGGACGTGCTCACGTTATTTATTCTGAAGAAAATCCTTCTGCTTTTATATAAATACATTCTGATACGTTTATTTCTCACTGATATCAGCAAACACTCAGGACTAGCTGGTTAACTGCTTGTGTTGATGATCTTAAAGTGTGCCAGGTGATAAATATGCGTTAATGTCAGACAGGCTTTGTGTGTGTGTGTGTGTGTGTGTGTGTGTGTGTGTGTGAACATTCCTGTGTGTGAGTGCTTGGTGCATCCACTCACCCCTCCACTGCTCGTCCGCTCGGCCTGGTGACTGAAAGCCCCTTACATCACTCGCTTATGATTTTTTTTTTTCTTTTTTTTCTTTTCTTTCAGTACCTAAAAATGATAAGTTGGCTTGCTTAGAGCCCTGCAGGTGCCGCGTTTCAGGACGGCAATTAATTCCAGCAGAGCGTGAGGGATCCTCTCCGTCACGGTGAGAAATGAAGAGATATTCAGAGGGAAAGACAGCAGGGTGACAGCGAAGGGCCCTTGCGCAGGTGACGTGGTGCCCGATTCGTGGGAGAGTGCTGCCAGCACTCAGTTCACAGCTGGGCTTTCGCGTCCCTGACGGCCAGCGGGACGTGCAAGGCCCACGCTCCCACATGCGGGTGGATGGTCAGGCCAAGCAGGGGCAGAAAGTTCTGGAGTTTCCTTCTGAGCCCCTGAGCGGGGTCTTCCTTCACGGAGTCTGACGCAGTACTGGCACGTGACTCTCAGCCAAGAGGTCACTGCTTGCAGGCTGGCTGGTGTTTGGGGGGGTGAAGGACATCCCTGGCAAAACGTGTCCCCCATCTTCACAGACGGGGGCTTAGTGGCCCCATTGATGTGTGTGCGTGGGCAGGGGGCTGGGATGGAATCAAGCCTTTTAAAAAATGCTGCTCGTTAGTGTGAATTGCACTGCCCCCCCCCCTCACTGTGGTTGGAAAAGTGGAGTGCCTGTTTGTAAGAGATTTGTTTTTGTTAGTCAGGTCAGGTAGACTCCTGAGC